CGAAAGCTTCAGTTCCAGGATCAGTTCATTGACAGAACAGCATGCAAAAGAAAGCAGCTCATTGTTAAAAGTGAGATATTAGTAACCAGTACCTGGCCTGAGTGGTGACAAACATCTGGAAAAATCTGCCTTAAATAAGTTTGTCTCTCCATGAAGTAAGGGAAATAAAGTTAGGTGCGTGCTTTGGCTAATTCTTGCTCATAAAGCTGCACCACGTTTGTCTGTCAATGCACATTCTGTGTGTTTGTCTCTGCATAAGTATGAATCAGGCTTTTCTTGCTGGGGTTTTGCTTTAAATAAATTACGTGTATTAGGCCCGAGGTGCATTTTCTGCAGCACAAAGCGGAGCTGAGCTTCGAGCTCTAAATAAAAACCTCGCCTTTTGTTTGGTGCTGCTTTTTGTCATTGTTTCCATCCAGCAGAATCCCGATGCGTGACAGTTCATATTTACAACTGCAGTCTTGGAAGTCAGCGGTGTGTTACACAACCTGAACCATCACAAATAAAAAATCGACCCCAAAAGTTCCAGTTTACTTTATACCAGACAGATGTTGTGATTGAACCAGTGGAGCTTCTGAGCTTCTTATTTTCAGGCAAAAAGTTCACAAGGAATGGATTTGGTGTGCCGAAACAAGCCCCTCGCTTAGCACAAAACACCATGATATATCATGCTGACAGTGGTTACACCGAAACGATAAACAATACACGAATCGTTCACTTTCACAATCCTGTAAAGCCTGGATCACCTACCTCTGACAGACCGTAGGAGGACACGGGCTGTCAAATGACCCAAACACTGAGTAAACATGTACACGCACCTTGTTCTAACTGCAAACCTCTGTCAGTACAGGCAGAGTTCAGCCACATGGCAAAGAAACTGGCCTTCAACTTCAAATAACACCCAGTTAGTGACGGTTTTACAGTTTGTGCTGCCAAATCATTCATTTTTACGTAAAACCCGAGTGATTTTTAAACATTTCAAATTGCACGGCCCTGGGAAAATCTCCCAAATTTCATGTTTTTAGTTTGAGCTCGACCACTGGCTATTTTAAGGCTGTGTAAACAAACTTGATGTTTTATAAGCTGGGCTGCACTTCAGGGTCTGGATTCTCTGAAGGGCACAAAAAATGTCCTCAGATGACCTGAAGGACAGGCCAAACCAGCATGTCCTGTCCAAACTGAGCCAGTGTGGCCTTCAAAAGTTTGTGTAGCTTGAGTAAGCCTCTGGTGATTGATGGAGTAAGTGAAACCACTAGATAAAAAAGGAAGAGGGGGTGAAAAAATAAATCATCAGCTTAATGATGATAAAGGTAAAGATGTCCAAAAGTATGCAGCCCCCTTTAAACCAGTATTTTTAAATCTAAACATTGTTTCTAAAAATAAATAAATAAGTAAGTAAGTAAAAACAGCCTGTGTGGGGTCCTGGGTCGGTTGTCCCAGTGTTTGAGCTTTTCGACCTTCTAATCTTCATTCGATTATTCCTTGCTTGCTGAATATTCGTGTATTTCGTGCACTGAGTATTCATTTATCTCAGAGTTTTGTCTCCTGTGTTTAGTAAATCGTGTCCCCTGTGTTTAGTCAGTCTTGTCGCTACGTTTTGTTTCCCTTCTTTTGTGTGTGTGTGTCAGTTTTCAGTCTGTGTTTCTGTTCTCGTTTAGTTTCTTCCCGTTTTATTTTGGTATCGCGTGTTCCCTTTGTCTCATTAGTTATTATTCAGTTCAGCTGTGTTCCCATTTGTCACCACTTTCTAATACAGATGTTTTAAGACTGCATTGAGTTTTTTGTGATTTCTTTTGCTGCTGATGTGCTAAATCTTTCATTAGGTGTGTTTTGGCTGCAAATGTATTTAAAGTTGTAAGATTGTGAAATCTTTGGAAATATGTGTATTTTTGTACTGTTTACTCATGACGTGCAGTCTGCTCTTCATTTGCATAAACCTGTAAACATACAAGCATTTGTACTTCTCACATCCTTATTGGTGAATCGCTTAATTCTTGAATTTGGTAACTTGGTGATTCTCTGTTAGCAGCCTTACCGACATTTATCAAATCTTTTCTGCTCGAGAGAGATTTTTGTGGGAGGAATTTTGGACCAGTCAGTGAACAAAACTGTCTTAGTTTTTTTTTGTTTTGTTTTGTTTTTTGTATAAATGAACAGCCCTGTTAAGTAGCCAGGATCTCAGTTGGATCAGTGACTTATACGGTGAACAGATACTGACGTAGCAAATCAGCCTGAACTGATGTTCCCTCCTGGGATTTAAATATATCATTTCTAGTCTCACTGACCGCTCAAAGCTCTTCAAGACTAAAAGACAAGGGGACACGTGTTGGTGTGTTTTTTGTTATGGTTGTTTTTCATTTTTCTGATCAAATGTTTTTTCCAATAAAATCTAAAAAATATTTTGAAATTTTTAATAGAATAGACAGATAGACATAAAATTTGGTTATTTAATTCAGTTTTTGTGCTTTTGAAGATTTAGTGGAGTCTATAAATTTCATTGTGGATGAAATATTCCTTCAGAATATTTTGCACTATTAATCATCTTTTGAATGGTTCATACATTTCAGAATAGTACATGCTTGCAATTAAAAAAGGGTGGAAGTCCAACAATGTGGGAAAAATGACATCTTCATAGGATTCTTCACAGTCCTATGAAAAATGCCACAGTCTTCCCAGAGTGGATGTGCCAGCAAATTCACCCTAAGGTCCAGACCAATCGTGCAATGCTCAGAAACTGCAAAAAATCCAAGAGCTATATCTCGGACTCAATAGTCCTCGGGTAGCAGGGTAAATGTTACAGTCGCATGATGCTTTCATCACTTCCAGGAGAAAGCTGCTTCTTTGTAAAACCAACACAACCGCACAGCTTAGGTTGATGCAAAGCTGTGCTACAAACCACAAGACTTCAGGAGCAATGTGCTTTGGACAGATGACACCAGAGTGGGGATGTGTGGCCATAATGCACAAAGCCAAACACAGTATATCAGCACAAACACTTCATGCCAGCTGTCAGCACGGTGGTGGAGGGGCTTGTTTTGCAGTCACACAACGTGGGCACCTTGCAGTCACCGAGTCGACCATGAACTCCTCTGTATACCAAAATATTCTAGAGTCAAATGTGATGCCGTCTGTCTGACAGCTAAAGTTTGGCCGAAACTGGGTTCCAGACACTGCAATAACATCTACAACTAAATGTCTGAAAAAGAAACAAGGTGCTGCAATGGCAGAGTCAAAGTCTAAACCTTGACCTCATTTGCCAAGACCTTAAGGGAGGTGTAATTAAACAAACGCCCACAAACATCAATGAACTGATGCAACATTGTAAAGAGGAGTGGGCCAAAATTCCCCCACAGTGATGTGAGAGACTGATAGTCATACAGAAAACAACTGCTTCAAGTTGTTTCTGCTAAAGGTGGTTTTACGAGCTACTGAATTATGAGGTGTACTTAGTTTTCCATAAGACTGTACTGAGTCCTGTGGAAACTCTCTTTCTCTGAAGACTGAATGTGGACCTATGGTTCATATTTGTTCGGCCCACTGGTGATCAAAATGGGTTTTACATCCTTGTTATGAAGCTTATGTGTATGTTCAATGAAACAGACATGCATTCATTCATATACCTGCATTCCTGGGTGTTTGGGACACCAGTCTGTCCTTTACACCACTTACACTTTGCCACACTGTCAGATTCTGACCCAATCCTTTTCTTGCCCACTTTTTGCAAGCCAATCAGTCACTTCTGTGCTCTTTAAATATCAGCTATCTTCTGTTATCCTGCCATTCAGACTCCGAACTCCACTTCATCCTGGCCAGATGGAGATCCTCGTCCAAGTCTCTACTTGCTCCATCTCTGCCCCCACCAGCGTCTAGTATCTGAAGGATCCTGTCCTACTTCTACCATCAATGGACTCCACTATAGGAAATGTTGTACATGCCAGAAATAAGAAATAAACAAAAAATACATGACTAAATGTAAATAGTTGTTTAATTTTTTTAAATTAATTTGTATTTAATTTTTTGTACGTTTTAAGATTTATAATCCATTGATATTTTTAATTTCATTTGTGTTTACATTGATTGAATTTTTAAATATGACTTTCTTTATGAAATTATGTTAGACATTAGAGTAATGAGTTCAAATAATTTTAGAACTTTTAAATTCTGTTTATTTAACCAATATGATCGTTATAGATATACTAGTGCCTATAGGAAAATTTTAATAAATTTATAACTAGTTGTAATGCTTATAGGCAAAACAAATGCATTATTTATATGGCCACGTATATGTATTTTTCTCAGTAATATTACTGTTTGATGTAATTTCTAAGTTATTTGTTTACTGGAATGTATGGAGCATTTGCAATACTGAACAATTTATTACAATTTAATGTAAGTATACATTTAAGTCCACAAAATGTAAGCAAAATGGAAGAATATGCTATAGTATTAATTTAGATGTATTCCTTTATAATCTTACATAAATTTATATAATGTAAGTGTACTTTTAAGTGAACATAATGTAAGTGTAAAGTAAGTATAGATTATAGTATCAACTTTTAAGTATTACATCATAAGTTTACATAATATAAGTAAATATTAAATTTTATTTTGTCTGTTGGGCTTCATAAAAATGTTAACAGTATTGAAGAATTTGTACATAAATGCAAATATCAGAAAATATTTCTCTCTCTCTCTCTCTCTCTATACATATATATATATATTAACATATATAGCTTTTCAATAACTGTAATTGTAATTATGAGCATAAATATTATTTAAAGACGAACTTTTTATTTATTTTGTTAGTAAACGCCTTATACAAGCGTTACAATAAAAAAAAAAACCAGTCCTTAAGGTCTTCCCGGTTGGAATGCGGTTTCCTAACCATTCCTCGGCTGCGGTGTGTATTTCAGTTGGCCCACATTTGGACCACCTTAAATATTCTGCTCTCTCTCATTACAGTGACACACACACACACACACATTCACACTCACCGCCACGGGAGCGCGCGGCGGCTGAGCGGCCCTGTCAAATCACTACGGAGGTGACGCGCAGCCCGAGGACTTACATAAAACTACTCCGAGGACTTTTCACTCTTTTAACGACTAAAAGTCGCTTTACTCGCCCGTATCTCGGACGAGGAGGCCTACACGTCGTGGAAATAAAAAGTTGTGGTAGTTTTGAACTTCTACCAGAGGCTTGTTTCGATTAAAGACAACAAAAAGGTTTTTTTTCGGCTGAGAGGCACTCGGGACGCGAAGCTGTCGAGGACCGAGAGGAGGGGGGGATTTCTAATCGTCTCCTTTTCAGTTTTTTCGAGGGCATGCGAGTCTTCTGAACACGCCCGGACCTGTTAACGCGCACATAAAGCCGGGATAAAGCCACTTGTAGCTCACTTTGTTTCTTCTGAATTCAACATGCTGCCGAATACGGCGCTTTACGCCGCGAAGAAACGGAAGAAGCCCGTCCAGAAAATGTAAGTCAACTCCCCAAACACCGCAAAGCAAAACCTCCGAGCACTCTGAGGTGTCTGAGGTGACCGGAGAGCTAAAGACAGACGTTTTATTGCACTTTATGAGCTCCGTGTTGTGGTTTATACCAGCTTTATAACGCTTTTTACTGTTTACTAATGTAATACTACAGTTGTGCCAGTACGGGCAGTCCCTTTGACCTTCCATAGAAGCTAGGACGTGTAATCCTGTTAAAACACCTCGCTTTGGTGGCTTTTAATGTTTATATTGAGCAACAATCTGTGTGTTTTTCTCCCCAAAGCACGCATACATGTCACAGTGAAGCTTTCTAACACCAGGGATCTCTTTTTCCTTTTTTTAGGTGCAGCTGTGCAAACATCCCTGCACTACTCCTGTATTATAGCCTGCGTTACATTGTAATAAGCGTGTTTGTGCCCTCTATGTGTGTGTGTGCAATAGTAGCTGGCTTGTTGAATCCATAAGGCTATAAAGTCTATTTTTCCCTGCAGTGGTTATGCAATGCTGGCCAGCCACCCCGAGGTAATGTGAAGTGCTGAGGTCCAGCAGCACTGCGTGGAGAATAAAGTTAACTGTTGCTTCAGTATCATTTAAATCTAATTATACCATCTAGGACAGCTGGCCTTCCCAGACTGATCTGTGGCCTTTAAAAACTCCTTAAAGGACTCCTCAGAAGTGGATGGTGCTGAACTGGAATTTATCTTTTGAGTTTTTGTTTGAGTGTGCCCTGTAGGCGGGGAGGTTGACACTGTAAAGACTGAAACCCCACATCAGAAATCTCATCGTACCACCTTCCTGTGATTCTACTTATGATTTTAATATATGTATAGTATCTTTGTTTCCCTCTTGATTCCCCAATCGGGACGCCTCAGAACCCCCCCCCCCCACAACGGCGCAATTTGAAAACTACCTCTGCATAGAGAAGGAACCATTTATGGACGGAGTTTTGCTCATTTCATTATCCTGTTTTTGTAGGGAAGCCAAGCACAGTGAATCTTTGTTCTTCTGTGCTTTGTCAGAGATGATGTTTCAGGACTTGTTAGAAGCCCTTCGAGCGCCGCTGCAGGTCCCTGAGGTCTTCAGTTTGGGAACCACAAAGTTATTCTTTGCACAAAAACAGAAGAACAGAGCCCTCAGATTGCCCAGCCCTATAAAGTGAAAAAAAAAATGGAGATATTACTAATGATAGGCTTATTGCTCATGAGTTTTGCTGTGAATAAACCACTAGAAGTGGACTTTTCTCTTGCCACTGAACTAGAATGTTCTTAAAGAAACAACAATTCAAACTGGATGTAAACTAGTGGGAAAAAAATCTCTTCATTGACACTTAAACCAACTGGTGCTCATGTGATTTCTGTAGACTGGAGGAGCTGGGACTCTAACCATCGACCTTCTGATTGTAATCCAGTACTCTGGTACGCAATGGCCACATAGTTTAAAAAACATTAATAAATCTGCTTCAAAGATCCTTTAGAGGCCCCCTGTGGTGCTGATGGATGGAAGATACTGTATAGGAGTGAGGATGTCTAAAGGATCAAGTAGATGGTGTTGCTGTTTCCAAAGTCACCACAAGTATGTAAGTCTATTTTAGACCCTTTGGGAAAGAACCCTTTAGAGGTTATATAAAGCACCAGGCTCTAATTGTTCTACTTATATTATTCAAGGTGCTTTTCTAGAGGTTCTCCAAAACACCATCCTGAAGTGTCCTCATCAGACCTCTCATAGGGGTGTAAATAACTTTGGAGAGTTTTTATAAAGCACTGTATTTGAGTCTTGGAGACATTACGCTGCTCTGCAGGCTCTCCAGAGAACAATGCTCAGTAAGTTAATAATAGATCCTTAACCATACTGTTAAGACTTACCGTAGTAGCACCATGGGCCACTGTATGGGAGTCCTCTAAGGCATCCTGTTGCATTTCAGCTGATATCCTTAGTTGTGTTGTTGCCTTTGTAGAGGATCTTCTATAACCTTCTATCACCATATTTAAAGTGCTGTAAAGAGCCTTTAAAGAAGTTCTGTATAGCACCATGGTTCAGTTTAAACAACTCCCATGAAGAACTTTCAGAGGGATTCTCCAGGGGGGACATAGTTAATTCGAAACACTGAAAATCGAGGAAAGAACTTTAGATTGGTTCTCTATAGAATCAGTGTTAATTTTCAACACTTAAACATGCAGGAGAGAACCTTTAGAGGGTTCTTTGTAGATTCTATATAGCCCCGTTGATCATTTACACCCTTAAAAGTGCTTTAAGGACCTTGTAGAAGGGTTCTCTGTATCAAAGTGGTTGTTTTAAACTCTTGAAAGTGCAGCACAGAACCTTTAGAAAGGTTCTCCATAACAGCATGGACATTTCAATCCATTAAAAGTGCTATAAAGAACTTTTAGAAGGGTTCTGTAAAGTGTCCTGGGGATATATATTGTTCGAGACCCTTTGCTGTGCCATAAAGAACCCTTTGCTCTCAGCCACGCTGGCCTCCTCGCTGTGATTTTTACCAGTTTGTGATTTTTAGCTTTAACAAGCCAGACGGAGTGTTAACTGCCCCGTACAGAACCACAGGCCTGAGCAGGGACCCACGGCAGAACCCAGCCAGAACCGCGGTTTCAGTGTATGTGTGCGTATGTGTGTGGCACTACCTGCATTAATCATAATCAGGACGTAGAGCGCTCTCACGCAATGTTTCCACGAGGGAGGAGGGAGGGAGGGAGGATGGCGTAATCTGAGACTCGCTCTGTTTTTTCTCCTCCTCCTCCTCCGACTGCCACAACATACTTTTTTCCTGTCTTTTTCCTTCTCTCTCTATGTGTTTTAGGGGAGTTTGTTTTTTCCCTCCCTCCCTCCACTCAAATTAACATAGTTCAGTGTCACGCAAAGGGTTACGTAAGTCTGCCATGTTCAGTTTTTAGGAAAAGTTTGTCTTTCTTTTCTTTTTTCTTTCAGGAAACAGTGTTGAGTGAGGGAGTTGTGAGTGTGAGAGTCAGTTAAGCCCACAGAGAGGTCTGGAGGCGGCGTTACAGCAGCCTGCCCTGCGGCAGTGTACCTTTATGTTTACACTGTATTGTACAAGGGAAGCATTTAAATTTATGGTAATGTCCATGTGTGACAGAGACAAAGAGACGGCGGATGGATTGTACAAAGTTGTAAAACAATAACAAGAAGGTTGAATTGCACAACGAGTAGCCAGAAGTATTTGGACATCTGCATGAGAAATGCTTGCAGGCGTTCTTGACGTATCAGCCTCCACATTTTGGAGCCGGCTGCAGAAACTTGCAGTGATGTTAGGAAACGAGGGCCTGCTCCGTTTTGGGGTTAAACTCCGTCCCAGAGGTGTTGGAGGAGGCTACTTGACTCCTTCCCACAGATGTTTTATTGCAGCTGGATACTGGACTTCAAAGTGGTGCCAATTCAGTTGAATAACGGTTACTTTTTAGGTGCGTCAAAGCAAAAAAAAAAAAACTTTCCTGGACTTTACAAATTGCCTTGTGAATGTAAAACTAAGGCATTCCAAATTCAGCATAATAGCCTCACTTGGGAATTTCTTTCATTGCAGTACCGCTGGCTGCCACTGGGACATACTAGTGTCACATCCGGCTCTCTCGCTGCAGGACGGGAAAACACCAAAGCATTCTTGAGGGGTTCTCCAATGAATGATGACCCATTTTAAACTCTTTAAAGAGCAATGAAGAACCTTCAAGAGGTTCTCTGTAGCACCGTGGGTCATTAAAAACCTTTAAAAAGTTTTTTTCTGTAGCATTTCAGTCCCTTAATACCCTGAAATATCCAGTAAAGAACCTATTATTTATGGTTATTCTCATAGTAGTACAATAATGAAACTTTAGGAGGTAGCACCATGGTTCATTTTAAACCCTTAAAAATCCTTTAGATTGGTTCTCTATAGCACCACTGTTGATTTTAAATTGTCAAAAGTGCACTAAGATAATTCAGACTGGTCCTCTTTAGCACCATGGTTCCTTTTAAACCCTGAAAGTCCAGGAAATAACCTTTAGAAGGGGGTCTTTGGATTACAGCCATACCACCCTGAACCTGCCGATCTCTAAGCAGAGTCGACCCTGGTTAGTAGTGGATGGGGTGTAAAGTTTTGGTTGGCTGTGACTCAAGAGGTGGAGTGGGTCATTTACCAATCAGAACGTTGCTGGTTTGATCCCTGGCTCCTCTAGCCTGCATGTTGAAGTATGTTTGGGTAAAATACTGATCCCTGAGCTGCCTTTGATGCATCCATTTGAGTACGAGTGTGTGAATTTTAAGTTAAAAAGCACTTGTGTGAAAGAGGCATGTGAGAGAGTGCTTTGAGCACTAAAAATTAAGTAGGAGAGCACAATGTAAATACCAGTCTGTTTACCTTCTCTACAGCAGCATGGTTTGTGGTTCATGTTGTAAAAAAAAACAGTGTAAACAAGCTAAGGATATTAAGGATTCTGCTAACTGCTCTGAGACTGAACTCACATGGGAATAAAATGGTTAGATGTTGCTGCTAAGGTTTTGTTTTGGTGCTCTATGCAATGGGCCAGCTTTCAGCAGAGGCACTGTTTCTTCTTAGGACTGACATGTGACAAACACGAACGTCCCAACTTTCACTTCCTGGTTGTCATATCAAGGTCAAAACATCATGATGCCACTGAGTCCTTGGAGTAAAAGCATATAGGCATATTTATGTTGGCTAATAAAGCCAACATTTGGATTAATGGGACTTTTGGAGCAGGTAATTTGAGAAAGTCCCACTTCATTTCTTATGAGTATGCGATGTGTTGTGTTGCATTAAATAATTGTTAAAAACAGTGTGATGAGTGTGATGAAGAACTGAAAGTCTCTAAAAGTTCCAGATTTGTATTTTTTATTTTTCCTGGAACGGTGGGAAAATATCCTTAACAGCTGTAGCTTGTGCCTAACAAAAAGTCTTAAAAATGCCAAATTATCCCGTGCTTAAGCCTGTCGGGATGTCAGTTTAGGCCTGGAATAATTTAAAAAC